AGTAAAATGTATGACATCACCAGCACTCAGGACTGCAGAACAAACGTAAGTACATTATGTAAAGGTCTTATACATAATATATGTAATATTTAATATTACTTTAAAATGCACTTAATAAATTAAAGATTAAGTTAAAACAAATCGGAGAAAAGTAAGAAGGGAAGTATAACTAAGAAGCAAACAGTGGAAATTGAATGTAAAATGCAAGCATAAGAACAATTAATCAAAAAAGAGGTCAGTGTAAAAAGAAGAAAGCATTAAAAGATGAATGGAAAACAAAAGCCAAGATGGTAAATTTAAATGTAAAGAGTATATACTACAGTAAAAGATTAATACAAGACATAGATACATGGATGTTCAATATAAAATAATTTCTACTTTTCTGCATATGTAAAATTCTCCATAATAGGATGTGCTTCAACTCAAAAAGCATATATTGTATGGTCAACTCAGATGAAATTTAAATCACCCACAAATAATCTATGTGGATAATGATCAGAATAATGATCATCATTGGGAGTGTGAACTGTGAAAGACCTTTATAAGGGACTTTTGGGGTATTATGCATGTTCCATTTCCTGATTAAATAGTGTAATGTGTTTAAAAATTTAACATTAGATTTTGCATTTTAGTGTGTAAGTTATTCCTCACTTTAAAAAATACCTACTAAGGTCACTGATGACTTTAAAAACCCATTATTTTTCCTTCTTTGTAAAAATATATGAGAAAGTAGGCTCTTTGCTCAATTTACTATGACAGAAAAAGCAAATCTGAATAATTTAGGGACAGATTAGACTTTAAATTTTAGTGTTTGGGTTCTAAATTATTCAGAATCTCTTAGTTCTACAGTTTTAAGCTGGCACATGAGGGTTTCGACACCATCAGAATTCAAATTTCTGTACTTGGCACCTTTCTGGTTATCTCATTTCACCAGCACATCAAAAATCAGTGTAGAGGCAAGTTCATTCTCTCAAAGTACCCACCTTCTTCACTCCCTACCTTCCTCCACCTTGTTTTATTTTTGTCAGATAACCACTACTCTTCTTACTGTCACCCACTTGGAAAATAATCTCTGAATTTCTCCTGTCTGTAACTCACCAAGACTTTTATGCTATCTTTTCAACATCTCTCAAATGCTTCCTTTTGGCCATCATCCTGTCAGCTTATTGGAATAAATTCCAGTGTTCTGGTTTCTGTCTTTCTCCTTTGCTATCATAGCACCACCAAATATTTCCCTGTATTCATGACATCCCCCTGCTGCTAATGTTTTAGAAGGTCACTATTCTCTACATAATAAAATTGAAACTCCTTAACATAACATCCAAGGCCTTCTGTGGAGTTCCAGTCTGCTTTTCCAACCTAGTGTCTCAGTGCCCTCTAACACACCCCTAGAAGCCCAATACTACTTGTTAATTGAATGTACTCTGTATATTCTCTCAAGACCTTTGTTCATGTTTTAATCCTGGCCTAGAACATTGCTCCTATTTATTATAGCCAAATGTCACACATCCTTAAAGATAGAATACCATCTCACTGAGATATTTGTGCAGAACCAATTTCATTTTTTATGTGCTTTTGTGGTTCTACGTATCATTCACCAGGTTGTTAATTCCAGGCTATGTTTCTATGTTCTTCAACTTGTACAAGTGTCCACATTTCATCTCCAAAAGTAGAGGAAATTCATGGAGAACAAGAGTCATATTGAGAGTTTTGAGTGCTTGAGAGATAAATCTAAAGCTATTTTTCAAGAGGATTAGTTCACACATTGCACTTCAACTATTAAATGGAAGAAGGATTATGAAGTTATCCATGCAGACTCGGAAAAGCTTAATTCATAACTGCATCTCCAAACTACCCTTCTAAAATGTTTGTGGGCCTGTTACTTTTTAACTAGGATTTGAAGACTGCAGATTATCACCGTTAAGAGACACTCAGCCAGAGTATCTGTACAGTTCAGATCTCAAAGGTCCCCAAAGATCCACAAGTTGACAGCTTGGTTCTCAGTTTGGTGCAACTGGGAAATGGAAGAAGCTTCAAGAGGTGGGGGCCTAGTAGAAGGTTTTAGGTCACTGGGGATATGTCCTTGAAGGAACTTGCATGATACCACTATTTTCTCTTTTCTCTTCACTTCCCAGCTACTATGAGGTGAATGGGCTTCCTTATCCATGATGTGCTGCCTCAACACAGGCCCAAAACGATAGAGACAGCAGACTATACACTAAAATAAATTTTTCCTCCACACAAGTTGATTGTCTCAGGTATTTTGTTACAGTAATGGAATATTGACTAACAGACTATCTAAACTAAATTAAAAGTTAGGAATTAGGATACCTGGGGTCCTGTCCTATTTTCTGTTAACTATACAGCTATATAATCTTGGGTCAGTTACTCTTAACCTCATCTTTTCATCTGTAAAATGAGAAGTTTCAATTAGTTGAGCTCAAAAAAGTGCTACCAGTATTTTTCTGATACTTGCCATATTTTGTGAATTTCATATTATCCTCAACCCAAGAGTTAGGGGTAGGCAGAGAAGTTTACATATTTATCAAGCACCTATATCATCTTGATTAATCTTTGCCAGAGTTCCTTAGGTAGCTATTGTTACACAGGCTCTGAAGGTTTAAGTAATCTGTCAAGTTTTCACATCTATCAAGTGACAGTGTTAACATTTGACTCTCAGAATTTCTGAATTTTCTTTTCTCTGTCTCTCTGTCTCTCTACCTCTGTCTCTGTATCTGTCTCTGTCTGTCTCTGTTTCTATGTCTGTCTCTCTCTCCTCCTCCCCTCCCTCATCCCTGTCACTCACCCTCTCCCTTCTTTCAGTTGTTTGCAATAGGGTCTCACTATGCAGTTTAGGCTGGCCTTGTATTCACTATGCAACCCAGGCTGGCTTTGAATTCACGCTGGTCCTCCTGCCTCAGCCTCCCAAGTGCTGAGATTACAGTCATGCACTGCCACACCTGGCCAGAATTTCCAAAGTTATTAATTCCAAAGCAAATTTTTTCCTATCACTCAAGTAATTCAATTCAGATCAGCCCAAAAAATGATTTATAAACAAATAAATATGTCAGAAACATTGACCAAGAGTTACTGTTGACATATATCTACATCGCATTTATAATTTTCATACCAAAACTAGAATTAAGGTACTTTATATTTACATAAGCTTTTATAATTCACACACAATATATTATGAATCTCACAGTATAATCATTAGATAAGAGAGAAAATCAACTCCTAGAAATGTTAAGTAATTTTCCCTTAAACACAAAGAACAGGGGCTGGGGATTTAGCTCAGCGGCAAAGCGCCTGCCTGGCAAGCGCAAGGTCGTGAGTTCGGTTCCCGGTACCGGAGAAAAACAAAAAATAAATAAATAAATAAACACAAAGAACATAGTGGGGTAGTAAAGGTCCTGGGTTTTGAAATCCTTCAGATCTGAAGTCAAATTCCATTTCACCTACCTTATAACTGTGTAGTAGCACATGAATTGCTTAACTTTTTACGTAGGAAACAGGGTTGTAAAAGTAGATACCTCATAGATTTTTTATAAAGATTATAAGAGGAAATGTAAGGCATTTAGTACTATGTTAGGCATACAGTGACAAATATTAAGTCTTGTCAATGGTAGAACCCCCACCATATTATTATTATCATAGTCTCTCACTTCATGAACTTTTGATACTTCCAATAATCTCCTTTAGATATGACTTAAGATAAAGCTTAATACTCAATTCAGTGCTATCAGAAGATGCATTATAGCACATCGGGGAGGGTACTTAGAATCTACCCTCATTAAAAGATATACTTTTATGTTCCAAGAAAAGTGAGAGCTGGTTTGGCTTGAACTATTCATGCTCTCTTGCCTAGCCCCCAGATGAAGAATTATTGTACCTGCAAGATATTTCCATCAATTGTATTATCTTCCTAATTGGGAATCAGAGTTTTTCTTCAAGTAAAACTAACCACCATATAGGGAAACAGAATGAAAGAGGTGAACCTCCTTATCACAAAATCCCAAATAATCTAGGTTTGTATCAGTAGTTGTTCACATGTACCAACTTTATTTTCTGGTTGTGAATGAAAGATAGCCAGGCTTGATAAAGTATCAATTAAATTCTATTTTTGTTATCTTCCAAAATAGAAGTGCAAAAGAAATTTTAGAATAGGAATGCCATCTTTTCTTTTTCTTTTTTTCTCTCCCTCTCTTTTCATACACATTTACTATTAAAATACCTGGAGTTTCAAACTGGAAGTGTTTATACAGTAACTCTCATTGGTTGTGGGCATGCAGGCTGGCAGTAGATCAAAACCACCGCCAAGTTTTTCAGCCGTAATTTTATTTTGATTTTAATTAGTATCAATTAGGACTAAAAAATAGACAGTCTGGATAAACAATGTGAGGTTGGCTCTAACAAGTAAATTAGATATTTTGCAGGAAAAGGGGGGAGGGGGGACAAAGACGGACTCTACTTTCTTCCTTCCAACCTCCTGCTCCTCCCCATAGCTGTTGCTGCAGGGAACTGAGGCTTTCAGAATAGTATCTGTGTTAATATCTCAAAGACCCCTTTCTGTTTAAGGGCACTGAGTTTGGGAAATGTCTACATCTTAGATGGCTTCCAACATGCTAATTGTCAAGCATTGGGTTCCTGCTTCTCCTATGAAATTCCCTTTTCTCTGTATTCTCAGTTTATATCCAGAGTCCTGTGAGAAATTCTGTCTTCCTCTTCTCTTCCTGCATTATCACATCTAGGCCCAGGTTATCTTATGAACAAAAAACTGTAACAGAAGACATTCAGTAGTGTGTGCTCATTTTAGGGAGTTACAAGTGATATGCACTTATTATTTTATTTTAATATAATTTACTTAATTACACATCTACTTAATTTAATTTTTTAAGAGTGACCATGTTCAACAACCAACAGGCAAAATTCCTAAAAATTTAAGAGTTATCTCTTATGAGTCAAAAGAAACCAACCAAGCATGTCACTGACACACTCACCTTGGAGGCCACAGTGTCTATTCACTTCTTCATGATACTGCAGGTCTTCAAGAGATCTGAAAGTGAGATAGTGACAGATGGTCCAAAAACTGAAGGAGTCAGCCTGCCCCCTTCATACAGACCATTTGCATTCAACAAATGCCTCCCATCACTCAATTTTTGTGTAGTGGGTCTTATGTAGATGTCTTAGTTACTTTTCTCATTGCTCAGACAAAATACCTGACACCCAAACTTAAAGGAGGTAAGGTTTATTTGGTTTAAAGTTTGTAGAGGTTTCAGTCCATAGTTGGTTAGCTGTAAGACCAGATGCTATGGCAGAGAAGAAACAGTCCATGGTAAAGCAGGGCAGGCAGAAAGCAGCAAGCAGCAAGTCCAAGAGACCTTAGCAGCATCTTTCTGCCCCTTTTCTTTTCTATCTAGGCTATGGGCATTAGAGATGCCAAACCAATCAGTGGACTGATTTACTTATCACACACCTTTCATCCCAGCATCACACACTCTAGATCAAGCCATCTCTATCTAGCCACCTATGGCCACATGAGGCTTTGGAGGGACATCTAGACACAAGTTGTAACAGTACATATGAGCTTTCAGCCTTAATTTAATGCTTTGTACATTACTGATGTCATCTATCAGACACAGAATGGAGTCCAGATCAAAGCAGATAAAAATACATAAAGTATACAAACTTGGAATGTGGGAGGGAATATGCCACTGATTTTTCAGTCTTCAATGTTCTCTATAACTTCAAGCAAAATTAGGTTCTAACTCCTAGTTTCCAGGATTTTCAGAACAAAATCAGTGACCTCTTGACTGAATTACCTCAATTTATCCTTTGACTAGCCTCTTGTAAAATGTGATTCAAGTTTAACTTTCTCTGGTGTTCCATGTCTATTTGTGGGGTATTCGGCTTAAAAAAAAGAAATCAGTGGAATCTGGAACCTTAACCAGTGATCATAAGATAACATTCACTTATACCCTCTTTAATATAGCTGGATGAAGGCAGCCTTTTAATCAGATACCAATTCTCAGACCTCTATCTTGTGGCACCTTCCGGACTGTACCAGTGAAGCCTTCCCTAGACATCAACCTCTGATTAGAAAGAAACTTTATTTAAAGAAAAAAAGGAAAGGAAAGGAAACATGCAATACAAAAACAACAACACTTATAATTTATTTTTTTTTATTTTTTTTTTAAAGATAAAAGGAGGGAAACATTAACAGACATACAACATTTTACAACATATCACAAG